AGGTGATTGAGCCATTTCTTATGCTTACATTTTTTAATAAACATTAATATTTATAGAGTACTAACACATTTTTTTTTAACACATTATTCTTTTGACTATTCCCTCTTTCAGTTTTAGTTTCCAGAATCTTTTGACATTGTTTCAAATTGGCATTTTGGGGACACTAAGATCACACTTGGTGATCTAATGCTTTCATTTAGGCATTTATTGGATATACATATACATATAACATTATAAGCCTGGGATTTGTTTTTGTTCTACAGGTAGCACCCAGTACCTTGTACAAATACAAAAATATTAAATGAGCAAAAGTTACAACTATTGAGCTAGCTCTTGTTTTGGAGCAATACTTGATATTTTTCATTAGAGGAATTAGTAGCCTGCTGGAGGTATGGATTTATTTGAATCAATTCATCTGACTATAAAAGGAAACCAGGGCATTGGCAGTAAGGGTTAGGGAAGCTTTACTTGCCAGATTCCTTGCTGCATTTATTTTTTACTGTTTCAGCTGATTTCTCTTGTCCTCCTTCTCAAATTACTCTATGAATCTACATAGTTTTCACGAACTTATTGGAAATGTAGTTTGTATAGAGCATTGCCTTAGATTTATTTAAATATGTATTGTCAAGAAAAGGGAGAAAAAATGTATTTGGGAAGAGGGAATGCTGAGTCAAACTAAATATGTCTCTGTTGCCTTTTTTATGCTTCTCTTTCTTGCAAAACAGATTTTCAGTTATTTTAGTGGGAGATGAGCAATCAGGGCCTTAGCTGTTTTATTTGATGGATTGGTATTATTATTATTATTCTGAACAGAAAGAATCTGATGAGAAAACAAACTCTGGGAATGTTTACAATGCTTATTTTCATGGTAGATATTGGATTTAGGAATATTTGCAGCTTTTCATCTTTATCTTGTCTTCCCTGTGATACATGATAAGATAGTCAAATAGGATGGAATTGGATTTGTTTCTCCATTCAGCAACTGTTTAATATTCAGTTTCTACAATTTTAGAACATACTTACATTTGTTTTTGGTTCAAAGTGATTCACTGTTTTTTTTTTTTCAATTTGAATTTGGTTTGCAATGAGTTAAAAATTAAAACAGGATAAATTTAAAGATCAACAAGTTATTTTGGTGATGTTGGCTCATTTTAAATTCCCATTCAAATCTTTGAACAGGTAAGTCCTGGGAATATTAAAATCTCTTCAATTAATTATACTTCCTTTCCCAACTTATCTCCAACTGGGAGATAATTTATTTTGAGAAATAATCAATATAATGAAATTATAATGCATTAAATTAATATAGGAAACCTCAGAGGTCTGTTTCAGTGACCAAGCAAGCGACCTGTTTGAAAGAAAAGTCCACAAACCAAATTAAATAAAATTCAAAAAAATCTGGGCCTCAACCAGTTTTATTTTTAATCTTTTGTACTTCAGCTTCACCTGCAAAGTAAACTATTACTTTTACTCTTTAGTACTGTAAATGTGTACATGGGTAGTTGGGGGTGTGTTTAATAAGAACCTATCCAAGTTATACCATAGATTTCATATGAACTCTCCATATCAATTACTTGTTATTGTAAGTGAAATATCTAGTTAAATGAATGTAACAATCATAGTTTTAGAGTACTTTGAGCTCTTTAGTATCAATAAATGGAAGATATAAGTCCTGATAATAAAAGTTCAAACTAAAATCTTCACATTATTCAAACTCTGACCTTTAGTTAAAACACTCTCAAAGATGATGTACTATTATTGAATTTTCTCCCCTTCTTCTTTGTCCATGGACATATTATATAGAAGTACTGGTTTTATGTGTTTATTATTTTAGAATCTTCTAAGTGTATTTCTCCCAAAGTTTTTGTTTGGAATTGTATAAAGTTCACAGACATAAATGTTAAGAAGAACTATCTAAAAAAGAGAGCTAATATTTCTTAGAGAAGAAAAAGTACTGAGAATAAAATTGTTTTAGAATTAAATGAATTGGTTGGTAAAATAGCTTGTATTAATTCATAGATAAAATTACTTAACTTGTTAGAATCTTAGATCTGGTATTATTTTGATTTGAATGTAGTGAGACGGGATCAATAAATGGGCAAGGTACAGAGATGATCATACAACATGATAAATATTTAATAAAGGCCATTAAAATTATGTTGAAAAGAGCTTATATTACAAAAGGAGGAAAATGATCAGATTTCGCTGATGTTTGAACTGATGAGTGGATTGCATAGGTCTCTGAAGTCTTACTGTTTTTATGGTCCAACTGAAATTCTCTCATATCTTCTGTATGGTCCAAGTCCCTCAGTCAGGATCAATAAGATTGTTGAATTTTCACTGCATGAAAATTTTATCTCTTTTTTGGTACTTTTTCCTGATTTGCTTTGTGTTAAAGTAAATGGTAATGTAGAAAGAGCTGAGATGTTACAGTAAAACCCTACTTTAATCAAACTTTCTGAGTCCCAGTTTTCTCCTTTGTAGAGTAAGAATGGTAATACGACCCCCCTGTGGTTCTTGTGAGGATTCAGTTGAAAGCATAAAGTATCTTGGGCTGAACGGCACTCAATAAATGTCAGTGTCCTTCATATTTTGATTTTCATGTCTGTTTTGTCCCATAATCTATAAGTTCCTTTAGAGCAGGATATATGTTTTATATTCAAGGTGACTTGAGCATAGTAGATTCTGAATGATTATTTGGTGAATTAATTTGCTGACGCTCCATGGAAACTTAGTTTAGCACTATTATTTCCCATTTCTTTTTCCTCTGTCCCCTTAGATTGAGATAAACCTGTTGCTTTCATGGAACTGAGGATTTAATTCAGTAGAATGCGATTCTAATATGACTTATTTCATAGAGTTTGATATAGTAAGAGTCAAATTATTTCCTTGGGAACTTAATTATATTCTATAAAATCTTATTAGCCTGTCTCATGGCATCATAGTCACAGTGGAGTTCTGGTGTGTTAAAGATGGTGAAGTCTCTATCTGTAGAAATGTCATGGCACAGAGTAAGAAGAAGAATTTGGGAAATAGATGACACAGAGGGAGCCAATGCAAATGTCTTGCAAATTATGTTACTTGACATTTTCAATCACTAACCCTTCAAGTATGTTCTAATTTACTAAAAAAACCCCAAGAATTTAATTTCTTGTGAACTTCCTTTGCTTAATTATTAATGCAGACAGTATTCTGTGATGTACTGTACTTTGTTGCCTTTGTATTTATCTAGTATCTGACTTAAAAATGAACAGGAACATTCTGATTTAGCAGAATTGATTTCATAACTCATCTGTGTTATAGAGCAGACATGAATAAATGTTTGCTGAATATGCCACATATGCTTCGATCATCAAAATGTTAGGGAAATGTCTTTTCTTCCTTCTGAAATACGAGCTCTGAGAGATCTGCCTTTCTGAACTTTGCTGGGTGACCTATTCTCCATACGTTTTCTACAGAGGCAAGCCAGATCCTAGGCCATTACAGCAAAATATTATGCAAACAGCTACCTTTTTGGGCCCGGGATTTAGCTCAGTAGTTTTGCCGCCTGCTGCGCAAGCGCAAGGACCTGAGTTCGATCCCCGGTACCAAAAAAAGCCAAAACAAAAAAACAGCTACCTTTTCATAAGTTTGTGACTGGAATATGAGTGCTTTTTAAATGTTTCCTCATTACATTTTGAAATTATACATTTATTATAATGTTTTTCTTTAAAAGCAGCAGCATATCCTAAAATATAAAATTTATTATTTTTTTGAAAATGAAGGAGTAGGGGAAGTGGGAAGGGTAGGGGAAAGGAAAGAAAGGAAAAGAAAAAATATGAGAAAAAGAGAAAAATGGAAACAAAATCTTTGTAAATAGGGAAGGTTGGAGGGGGTGAAGGGAGGGCAGGGGAATGGGGAAAAAATAAAAACCAAGATACGTCATGTAAAGGTACAAGATCCCAAAGATGAATGTAACTGTATTGTATACCTAAAATGTACCAATAAACTTAAAAAAAGAAAAAAAATGAAGTATGGTGTTGTTCTCAGAATTTTTTCATGCAATAAAATTGGTTGTAATTAGAATGCAATTTACTTTTGTAATGATACCTAATTATTTCCTTGAAAGATAATTAGCTAGCATTTGTTATCTCTGTATTAAGGATGGGAGAAACCAAGGCTCATTCTTTTTTTTTTTTCACTTAAATTCTTTTATGGTACATTTTAGGTATATAATACATTTACATTTATCGTTGGGTGCTGTACCTGTACATGATGTACCTTGGTTCTTATTTTTTCCCCATTACCTGTGTGCCCTTCACCCCTCCACCCTTCCCTATTTACATACTTCATTTCCATTTTTTTTCTTTTCTCATAATTTTTCCTTTCCCCATCTCCTCCCACCACCCCTACCCCTTTGGAGTTTTTCCTATTTCAAAGTATCAGTTATTAGTTATTAATCCTTTTAGTCCTTATTTACACTCTCAGTTTCTCACACTAGAGAAACTATTCGGTATTTACACATGTGTGTTTTATTTATTTCACTTAAGAGTATGGCCTCAATATGCATCCATTTAGCTATAAATGACTAGTTTCTTGTTCTTTATGGCTGAATAGTACTCCATTTTATAAAAAAATGCACATCTTTGTCCAGTTTCCAGTTGATGGGCACTTGGACTGTTTCCAAATCTTAGCTATTACAAACTGTGCCGCTGCAAACATAGGTGCACATATATCGCTGTGGTATGATTCTTTTAATTCTTTTGGGAAAATACCCAGTAGGGGAATAGCTGGGTCAAATGGGACCTCTAGCCCTAGTTCTTTGAGGTATCTCCACACTGATTTCCATAGTGGTTGCACCAGTCTGCACTCCCACCAGCAATGGAGAAGGGTTCCTTTCTCCCCACATCCCTGCCAGCATTTGTTATCCAAGGCTCATTCTTGACTTTCTGTGTTGGCTAGCAAGGAATTTGAGAAAAATATACTATTATCTAATGATATGCTTTTGTTTTCATTTTCAGTTTCAAAGAACATTTGAATCTCTTAAGAATGTTTCCAACAAATCTGACCTCCAGAAAGCCTACCAGCAGCTTGGGAAGGAGCTAGAAAATCTGGATTATTTAGCCTTCAAACGCCAGCAGGTAGGTGTCAGCACTCTCCTTGGTGGAAGAGATGAGCATTTTAGGGTCCCTGCTGTCCTAACTGTCAGAGGTGCGGGAGGGTCTGGTGAGACTTGTCTTCTAATGGTTAGGGCAGAAATAGCTTGGACTGAGCTGGTCTGCTGTGTTTATACAGCTTCCCGCAGTGTTCAATGTGGACCTTGCTTTTAGATGTGTACTTTAAGGGTTTCCACATGTGTCCTTATACCTGTTTTAAAGAAAACACCTGCTGTTTTGTGATGGCCCAACTACTCTTTTACTAATGCTGCCTCACTGGCAGAGAGGAAACCTCTATGATGCGTTGGCCAGATGGCTTAATCAGTAAAAGGTTGTGGATGTACATACAGAATTAAGTAAAATATGAATTGACATTTAGTTTTCCTTTCTTTCTTTTTTTTTTTTTGTACCAGGGATCAAACTCGGGTCCTTGTGCTTGCACAGCAGGCGGTGAAGTAGTTTTCTTTTTTGATCTTTGAAAATGAGTAAAAATTTGCTAAATGTGGAAAGGTAAAGGAAAACATATTTAACATATCTACGTCTTTTTCCTCCTTGTATAAAAGCTCCAAGATAAATCCAGAGCCAAAATAAACTTGTACAGGGTTGCTTTTAGAACTGGTACTTTATAAATGTGATAGTATTCATAATTAAATTCCTTGTATTTTGGAGGTACTACCATAAGTAAAATGTTTCCAGTTTCTTTCAGCCACTAGAGGTCAGGGTTGTCAAGCTTTTAATTTGGTTGAGTGTTTATTGTAATGGGAAAAGCCAGTTAGACATTTAAATTAGGTTGTGTGAGATTTGGGAATGTGCTCAATGAGAGATGACATCTAGAGAAAAGACTAAATAGCTGACTTGCTTGGCCAGGCACCGAATCCTTTGCTTAAGTGTCCTTCCTGTTAGTGTGACATTCTTGCCATTGCCTAATTCACAGATTTTTGATCTTCAGCGTGGGGGTTTTCAAAGCAACACTTCCTATATTTAGGTAACCTTCATTAAGTCAACATGATGTGGCTAAGAAAAATTGGCCCAAGAAGAAATTGCATTCTAGATTCTCACTCTATCACATGTTATAAGGGCATTTCACCTTTCTCTTGGCTCTGTTTTCCTAGGAGTTAATATTTCTTTTATAGAATGTCTCGGGTCAAATGAATCACCTGTACATATGCTTTAATTTTTGTGAAAAGAACTCAATATGCATTTAAATTTTATTTATTTTTTAAATTAGTACTGGCCTTGGTATTAGATATATAGTAGAGGTAGTCACAGTTACTGAGAACTACCATAGTTAAGTTCACAGATGCCAATATTTAAAATTTACGCCATGAGTCACTGCTCTGGCCTATATAATTTTTATTAGTTTTGTTTCCAAGATCATATTTTTACCACCAAGGGGTATTTGAGTTGGCAGGCAGTAGTCACTGTCCTCTTTTCTTAGTCTTCCTCATTTGCACATTTTCAGTGATTAGACTTAACATTAGCTAATTGGAAGAAGGTAAGGGCAGTGGGGTAGAACTTAAGGAAAATGGCAATGAATATGGATAAGTAAACTATATGTGTGTGAGGAAAAGATGGGCAAGTGGAATGTCTGTATATATAAATCATATATGCTCTTTATTAAGTGACAACTATATGTCACATAGTATGACTAAGACTTTTGTGGATTAAATTGCTACATATTTCTAATAATACAGTGAGGTTAGTTTTATTAACACCATTTTACAGATGAGAACACTATTAAGAGAGTTAAGTAACTCCTCTAATAAGGGATGAAACTGGGCTTTAAGATCTAAATCAGTCTGACTTCAAACCTGGAGTGTTATATATCCAAGGTTCAAAGAGCCAGAACATCAGCTGTTTTTGACTTGGTGGGATTTGTCTTTTATCTCCCATTCTTTTCCTGTAAAGCTCCCAAAACTATTAAGCACCCTGAAGAAACTGGTTTTTCTCCTACTGGAAGATTCCAGGTCTGTATAAAATTGTTAATTCAGCAAGAAATCTTCCTTGCTAGAAGGAAAGATTTTTTGTATCAGAGAATTAGTTCTAGTTTGTTCCTGGTCCAACCATATTTATCATTATTTGTTGTGGTAAAATGTAAGTTGCATAAAGACAAGGTCATGTCTGTATCCATCTTCACTATATTCTTTCCTGCTTCACAATATCTGACCTATGGCAAATGTTTCATAAATACTATTGATGGTGGTACTTCTAGAAACAAAGCATACAAAAAGTTTTTGCTTCGAATTATAGGCAATTAAAATCAATGTGTTTTGCTTCACTTTTAAAATTCAGAAAGGTGTTAGCCCTTACCTTCCTGTATGCCAAATTGCCCCTTGGCCTATGTATTATTTAGGATTTTCCTAATGCTTCATTCTTCTATGCACATCTTTAAACAGAAAATGTCAGTATTAACTTAGCTCTGGATTATGAATGTTCAGTGAATCAGCTATAATCACTTTATTGGACTCATTTATTAGATTTTATTTCTGACCTTTTCTATGCTATTTTAAACATCATTTTTGAAAGCTTTCTTTCTCAGCACCCTGGATTACTTTATTCCATTTTTTCACTTCTCTTTTTTGAAAAGTTATTGCACTTTCTCTAAGTGTGAATTCAGTTATTTTTTAAAAAGGAGTAAGTGCTTGTATTTTAGCTATTCCTTGGGTTAGAACACATACACCTCTACATTTTCTTACTTTCAAAAAGTTAATGATAAAAATAGCTTTAAAAAGGTAAGAGAGGAGGCTGTGCTAGATGAGACGGTATATACATGGGAGTGAGCTAGCCTGAAGGAAATGAATGACAAAGCAGGTTTGATCTGAAAATCTGGAGATTCTTTCAGTACCCACTATCTGGAAATACAATTTTGGAGTTTATCTACTTGAACTGTTTGGTTTTTATCTTCCTGGTTAGTGCTCTATAGGAATGGGAATAGCAAACCAGTTATTACATAGATCCCAGTTTATGTATTAATCTGAAAAGTTATAAATCAAGAGATTTTCCTGGGGCTTTGGTTTTGTAGAGTACAATAAAATAAGATTTGATAACTTAGATTCTAATTTAATTCTTTCTTCTCTTCTTCTACCCTTAATACTTATAATAACATTATGGAATACATCCCATTTTCCAGAGGCTTTGAAAACCTTTTAGAATAAACTGAAGTTGATATTATTGAGTTGAACATTATAGAGACTAGAGCACATTTATGTGTTGCGAAAATATGTGAAATGAAAATACTGCACTTCAGATACACATCCATGTGGGAACACATCATATATTCCTAATTCTTGTCTTTGATCATGGCATGTTATTCTTGCCTTGTAACCTTTGCACAGGTTCATGGAACTTTGTTAGAATATACAGCCCCTTTCTTTTTGCTTATTTCATTATTGATCATTTGATCATTCTTTAAAGCCAAGCTGAAGTCTTGCCTCCATCATGATACCGCATCCTATGACATTTAGTCAATATGTAATCTCTTTATTCTTTGCCACTCTTAGCTTTTTTCTGTGTCATACAATTAATATCAGATTGGTCACATAGTCATTGAGAATCCATGTAGTGCAGCAGATCCAGCATGGTCTTTGCAGCTATCCAAACCTAGCTAGACTATTTGTGTGGCCTTGGACACCCAAGTTTCTTCTTTTAAAAAACGAGGAAATTAACACCTAACTTACAGCCTGTTTTGAGAAAATAGTATATAAAGTGAGTCCTATAAAGCATATAAAGAGCTTAACAAGCACTTAATATTTTTTTTGTATGAATAGCTATCATAATGTTTTGTTTTATAAACCTTTTTCCTAAATGTTTTCTAATTTCCACAATTTCTATTTTATGTATTTTTTGTATTACATATACCAGTAGGGCCCAGAACTGTTATGAACATATAGAATGGAATGCTTTTGGACATATGTAGTCTAATGGATGGTGATGTGTGTTACAGAAGGAGCATATCTCTCAAGAAGGGAGTTGTGACATTTGGTTCTAATATGTTTCTATAGTAAAGTCTCTTGATGGACAGTGAAATTAAAGTCCAAGTTCTTGTGCCATGGCAATATATGGGGGAAATGGGTCTTAGATCCAATATCCGGTCCAAATTCCAATCGTGTAATAATTATATCCTATGTGCTCAACCTTCTTTTTTGTGGAGGGAGGGGAGGGAAATGGATGAAGAAAGAATTAAAATCTGTTGTGTACAAGTGCCAGCTCCCCACTATGAATGTAATCATTATGTATTGCAAACATTTACCAATAAAGATAAAAATTAAAATAATGACAACATCTAATAAATATGAATATTCAGCCTTGAAAAAGAAGTAAATCCTTCTACTTGTGATTATATCAATGAACCTAGAGAACATCATGCGAAATAAAATAAGTCAGACAGAGAAAGATATATATTATATGATCTGATTTGTATGTGGAATCTAAAAAAATCAAATTCACAGAAGCAGAGAGTAGAAGCGAAGTCAGTAGGAACTAGGGATGGGAGAAACTAGGAGTTGGTCAAAGGTGCAGCTGTTAGTTTTGAATATGTTCTGGGGACCTAATGTGGAGGTGATTGGTATAATTAATTTGTAGTACTAAATATAGTATAGATGCATATACATCCTCAAATGATCATATTATATCTCTTAAATATAGTCAATCTTTGTCAATTAAATATTTTAAAATTGAAAAAGGAGAAAGAAAATCCAGATGCATAAATAACTGACCACACACATGCACATTACACACAAAGTAATCCCAGGCTTACTCTGCAACTGAAGAACTCTGATAGTTGAGCATGGTGGTATGTTGGTGGTCTCTCTAGAGGGAGACCTGGAACCCCGGAAAGCACCGACTTTTAAAGAAAGTAAAGGAGACAGCCTGGGGGACGAACAGCAGTTTAATTCCTCTGGCACTATTCGACAATCACAAAGGAAAGAAGCAAGGCTTTTATACGGGTAGGAAAGCAGCTTAGTTATTCTGGGTGTCGTCTTTCT